GAGGGGTCCTGAGCGGATTGCTTCATCTCATGCGTCTTCATCCGTGAAAGGTCTCGTGGTTGTTGTGAGGATTCCCAGGAGCGCCCGAGAATTTGAACAGATGTTTGCAAACAGGTGGTTATTCCCACATGCCCCAAGCATTGAAACCATTTTCCCACGGTGGCCTTTCCCAGTTCTGTCAGTCAGATGGGGCAAGTGTTTCTGCCCCCATTTTGCAGATGAACGAGCTGGGCCTTAAGGCATTAGCCGCTTGCTCTAGGCCGGGGGTCCACAGACAGAGGCCTGTGGGCGAAATACAGCCCACCTCCGGTTTTCGTATTGCCCTGGGGCAGAGAATGATTATTACTTTTCTTAACGATTGGGGAAAAATCAAAAGAACAGTATTTGTGACATCAAAACTCTGTGAAATTCCCATGTCAGGGTCCACATGGGAGCGCGGTCACACGCAGCTGTGCGCAGGGGCCTGCTCAGAGTTGGACGGGAGCGGCAGGGACGGTGACCGGTAGGGTCGTAAAGACCTGCTGTCTGAGCTGTGACAGCGATCAGCTGCCGACCCTGGTCTGGCTCATAAAGAGCACAGGGGGCCCCTCCCGGCTCCCCAGAAGAGAGCTCCTCTGCCAGGACGTCTGGGCCGGGGGCACGTGGCGGTGACGGCAGGGGGGGCGCCCGGAGGTGCCCGAGGAGTCTCGTCTCTGCCTCAGCGTTGCTCTGTGGGAGTCGGCATTGGCCGACTCCGACTCCCTGAGGGAGGACAGCGGGGGAGCAGGGTCGCAACGTGGCAGGTGTCCGAGCCGGGGCCCAAGCACCCCCCGGGGCAAGGGGCCCCATTTTGTGGCAGGCGAGTAGAGGAGGTGTGGCAGAAGCACAGCAGCTCCCCGTCTTCTGTGGGAGGGCGAGCAGACCGCCCCACTCGAGAGGTATGGACCCGAGGGCTTCTGCGAGCTGTACGGGCAGGCGCTCCAGCCTCAGGCGGGGCAGCAGAACAGGAGATGCGGTCACCGGGCCACTACGCCAGTGTCTCCGTGGCCATGTGCCTCAGCCTGTTTACTTTGCTCTGAGACGGAGAGCCTGGCCCTCTTCCCTCCTGATTTCTGAGCTGTCAGTTTCTGTCCTTTTTACATGTCCTCCTCTCGTTCCGATTTCACCGCATGTCGTGATACCCAGCCTTTCAGATCGTCATGTCATTCGAGGTTTTAGGAGTCTCCCCTTTCAAAGTGTTCGTTTTGAAATATTCGGTTCACGGACCGGGTACCCTGAAGTGGTCTCCCAAAGACACCGGCCCCCGTCTCGTGAACATCCCTAGGGCAGAGCTGTGCCGCGTCGGGGGTGGGGGAGGCCCCCCAGAATATCCCTAGAGGAACATCTCGTAGTCTCACAGCGTAGGGTGTCCGGTCTCATGAACAAAAGTCCCCAGGGGCACCAGGCTGCTTAGTTGGTGGAGCATGCGACTCGTGATCTCGGGGTTGTGAGTTCGAGCTCCACGTCAGGGGTAGAGAGGACTTAGAAGACAAGAGTCCCTGTAAATGTTATGGCGGGTGACTCGGGATGAGGCTGTGCCCGAGTGCTGCTCCGAATCCCGGCCCCCTCCCAATGGGCACTGAGACCTTGAGGGCTCACGGGTCCCCTGGGAGCCTCAGTTTCCTGTCTGCAAGGCAGGCTGACGGCAGCAGACCCACATCAGCGGAGAAGCACTCACAGCTGCTCGCGGGGTCGGTGGCCTGGTGCTGTCCCGGTACCGCCGCTGCCATCATCTGTACGCCAATCTGCCTTCCCTTATTGGTGCCCAGGTCTGGAAGCTGTTTCCTTTTGTTGTGTCTCTTTCCCCTGTATCGTGGGGTGCAGGCAGTTTCAGGCTGGGCTCCGGTTTTTCAGGCCCTAAAGTGTCTACACATATCTCTCCTGTCAGGATCGTAAAACCCTCTCATCCTAAAAACCAGGAAGGGAAAACAGAACCGAATGAGTATCAAGAATTCTTGGGAGAACTCGGCCAAGTACTGCAGCTCGAGAACTGCTGTGCAGGTTCCAGTGACACTTTTGTAGGTCTCTGGCCCTCCAGTGACAGTGGCTCTGCTCCGTAAGACCAGCCCCCGGGGGGCACAAGCACTGGTGGCTGCAGGAGACATTCCCTAGTCCTATTACACCACAGTACACGTGCCTATGCCCCTGAAGTCACCCTGAGTCACTCCCAGACCGCTTTGATGTCCCCAAAGGTTTCCTGTAGAATTCACATAGCATCGAGGGGGGAGAATTACAGGCACTTCCTTGTGATCGTGTAACTGATGAAAGCGTCTGCACCTTGATTTTTCCCGAATCAGTTTTGCATGCTCGCCTGGTACCTATTAGCCATTTGTTTTATGGCTTCAGCATTGCTGCAGGTGGGCATTTCAAGTGAGGCTTTTCTAAAAAGAGGCCGTCCCAGAAGCCACTGCAGTCACACCAGGAGGGCTGACCGAGAGTCTCCACGGGCAGGAACCCGTCCACTGCCAGGTTCCTCCCGCGGAGCCCTCCGGAGCAGCAGAACCACGAGGAGCCACGATTTTGTGACCAGCTCTTCTGTGCAGGTCCACACCTCGACTTGTACGTATCTCCTGTAATCCTCATAACAACCCTGCACGGCGCATACGTGTTCCCATTGTCCACGTGAGGACACGGCTGCAGCACAGACAGGTGAGGGGACCTCACGGGAGGGCGCAGGCTGTCCTGAGCCCCGCAGCTCCGCCCCACCCGGGCTGCTCTGCCCCGCACAGGCCACACCGCGTCCTTGCCTCAGCTGTGGTCCCCTCGTCTCGTGATTGCAGTGAAGTCGTCCTCTGTTCAGCCAGCATGGACGCCCCCCTTCTCTGTGCCGGGCCCCGTGTTCCATGCGGAGAAGGGCTCTGGTCCCCTGGTTCTCCATCTGGAGCGGGACAGACAGTGGACAAGGGACCAAAGACTGCCAGCCGGTTGGTGACAGGGACTGAGGAAAGTAAAGCAGCATGATGAACAGTGATAGGGGATGGGGGCAGGTCAGTGGGAGGCAAAGTCTCTGGCTGGGTGACATTTTGGCCAAAACCAGAATCGGCTGAGTGCACCTGAGCTCCAGCACGTGGCAAGTCCTGGGCGAGGGGCTGCTCTGGCAGCTCTGGCAGCTTCGTGCCCTCCTCCCCCGTCAGGCAGGCAGTGACCCCACAGCCATGCGCTGCTGATTGATCCGGGCGTCTCCTCAGGAGAGCCAGGAGGCGGGGCCGGGCTTGGTGAAGCACCTCTGGGAACAGGGCAGCGGGGGAGCCGGCAGGGGCCGGGGGTCTGGCAGCTGTCACAGCCGGGGTCACCTGCCACCCTGGGCTCACCCGCTGTGTTTGGCCTCTACAGGTGTGTGCTTCATAGGAAAGAAGGCAGGGAGAGTAGCATCTGTTGCTTGTGGAAATTCTGCCTTTGTCAGCTCTCTGAAGGGAGGGCATCGATGACAGAACAGAGAGAGAAGACCATGACTAGATGCCACGTGTGTGCAGTGTTGCTTCTCTCGTCTCAGCTGCTTGTGCACATCTCTCCTCTGCTTGGTCCATCCTTTCTCAAAGTGCCTTAGTAGCTCCCTTCATCCCAGACGCCATTTCCCACGGTCCTTCCTAAGCCTGCACGGAGACAAAGCCAGGGGCTAGAACATGCCAGTTCGCTGAGAACAGGGTAGGAGGGAGAAACAGAGAAACAAAAGAATGTAAGGTTTGGGGTAGATTGAATGTTTTTCTTTAATCCCGCAAGCAGTGTTACCTAGACCATGTGAGAATGATAGAGATGATCTGCCTCCCACAGAGGACTTGGGAATAGTTTACACTTCCTGAATGCTTTACGGAGGACTGGCTCGTTGACTATATTCTGCCCGCTGAATTTTTTTATTTCAATCACTTCTAATTAAGAACTAAATTCTTCCAGTAACTCTGAGGTCTGATCTCAATCATTACCATGGCAATATGTGGGACGGTTGATATCCTAAAGAATGTGGCCTGTATATATTCTCTCTTTTCTATAATTTTAATACCTGAGTGAAGTAGTAAGAGCAGCACAGAAGGAAGAACATTTAGCTTTCGATGTTTCTGGGGTTAACGTGGATGCTTGGGCAGATTTTCTCTGTGAAGAGCTGTCCTCAAAGATAGTTCTGGAAGCACTGCTCCTTCTTTCCCGGCCCAGCAGCTTAAACTCGCAGCGCAATGCAGGAAGAGGGAAGCAGGTGCAGCCGTGCTCCCAGTGGGTCCGAGCGAGGGCTGTTCTCCTCGGATGCGCTCCCCGGGCTGGTGCGCACGAGGATTTCTAAGTCACCGTGTTACCAAAGGGAATAGTGGAAACACTACAAGTCCTTGACTTCCCCTCCAAACGGAACTCATTGTAACATGCCATTTCTTGTCGTTTCATTCTTCTTGTTAGATTTCTCCCTTTTGGCATTAACACGAACTCTTCGGATGCCTGAGTGCAGGGTGACGGGAGATAATCCCTGGGCTGCTTCCACCCAGAGCAAACAAAATCTGTCACCCACTTACTCTCTGTGGCAGTCAGGCCATCATTTTTGTTTTCCGAGAGGCCAGCGTCAGATTCTGTTGTAGAGTCTAGTTATGAGCAAAGTCAGGTTTTCGGTCTCTGAAGCACTCGTCCTGTTCAGAGCGACCCCAGGAGAGGCAGGGTGGGTTTCAACACGGGCTTGGTGCGAGGCAGAGTTTTGCAGTCGGAACGGATGTGGGGCTTCAAGTCCTGGACGTAGAACCTCCACGTCTTTCCTTTCTCACAAGGGCCTTCCGTGCCAGCACCGTGTGTTCCCAAGAGACAAGTCTGTGTGTTACAACAGACGCACCATGACGTCACCCGTATTTCCATAGATGACTCATGCGTGAGCAGAAGTGGAGGAATAGGGTCTTGAGAATATGTCCCCATAACGTGGCATTTGGGCAGCTCATTTTGCCTTTTCTAATTCTATCAAAGGCCAGGAAGTCAGTATTTACCCTCTTCCAACATATCTGCTTCCTTTCCTGCAGAGACGGATGATTATGCTGAGATCATAGACGAAGAAGACACCTACACCATACCCTCGAGTAAGTAGGCTTCTGATTTTGTTCTCGCCCGGATTTGACCGCATTGAACTTCTAAATATCTCACATTTAGAAGTTTTAGATATTGTTTTTAAGCTATCTTTAATCGTTCACTGAGTGCACGACAGAAATGTGCTCTTCTCCCTTTAGAATTCTGTTTCAGGCTTGGCCGAGTCCGAGGTCAGAAACCTAACGCTCAGATACCTGTAGTAAGTGTGCTTAGTTACAGGGTTTTCGTAATTTGTTTCCTGACTCTGTAATACCTTTACTGGTGACAAAATTTCCTCTCTGTAGACGAGTGTATTGTTTAAAGTTAAATAAATATACACACATGTCTGTTCACTTCTTTGAATACGCACAGTCAGTGAATTGCGTTTTGTTGGAAACTTTGTCCTTTACTGCCCTTGAGCTTCCTGCCTTCAGCGCACGGTCCCCGCAGCTCCGGCTGGGAGGCGTGCAGAGAGGGAGGCTTCGGTCATGCCCTTCCCACCGCCTGGAAATGCCCGCGCTCCGCTTCTCTCTGGTGTGTGGGGCTTCTTGACGGAGGAGAACCCAGGAGCCCCAGATCTCATGTTGGAGGATGTGGTCCCAGATCTTGAATTTCAGACACACTTGAAACTTCATTCACATTAACAAAAAAAAATGTCTTAGGGGCGCCTGGCTGGCTCTGTCACAAGTAGAGCATGTGACCCTTGATCTTGGAGTCGAGAGTTCAAGCCCCACATATGGCATAGAGTTTACTTTAAAAAAATTCTTTTTTTAAATTTTGAAAATATATTCTAAACCTCCCTCCAAAAGAGGCGCAGTTATGAGTCTGCATACAGCCCCAGGGACCTTAATAATTGAACATCTGATGTCCCGATTCCAGTAGAGCCGGACATACCTGAAAAGTACATGTTCCAGGCGTTTTATTTACCCTGTTGTGTGACTGTTTTAAAAGATGCTCTCATTTAGATTAACTGTGCACGTTGAAGAGGTGCTCCCAGCATCAGGCCTGCGCTATCCCCGGGGGCACCCTGTGTCCCCCTGTAAGAGCTCTGGTATCAGAGAGTGGTTCGAAACAGTAGGAAGCGCTGAAACGTGGGTATTTTGGCTTGCACAGCAACATGGAACATGTTGAAATTTGGCTTAGCCGTTTAGTCATTCATACATCCCTGCAGCCTGTCCAAATTTGCATCCGTGTGCTTGCTATTGAGTGTTGAGTGGTAAAGCTCCAGGCCCCACAAAAATGGGTTACAGGGCAGGAATTTACGACCGGAGGTTGAAAAGCATTGTTGTCATCACATCGAGATAATTTAAGGAGATTCAGAGTTTGCTTGTGTCTAGTCTTCTTTTTTTTTTTTTTAAACTGATGTTTGTGGTTAAAATACTTAGCAAAGTAAATGTTGAAATATACTCTCAGAGTTTGTTGTTGCTAACCTAATTGCTATTAGTTATTTCTAAGCAAGGTCTCCAATTTTTTTCTCCCCTGATTGCAATACAGAAAGCTATGGAATAGATGAAGGTAACAGGACCCCTTTACAATAACTGCATTTGCTTGCCGATTGCAACCTGTGGAATGACGTGGGACGTTTCAGTTCTCAGTTAACTTTTATCTTTCAACTACTTTCCATCGGTTTATTCGTGCTGTTAAACCAATGGAACTACTAGCTAAAGTGATTTTAAAGAGGAGAAGGGCCGTCTAAGACTTGGATTGGACCTTTCTGTACGGTTTCTAATTTGGTAAGCCGGGGAGAGACTTTGGAACCATTTGGCTTTCGTTTTGTTCCGCACCAGTGGAATGTGCACGGCGTTGGTCGTGCAGCTGGGTCGCTGCCGCAGGAAATCAAACACCACGCCGTTAATTGGATTAGAATCAGTTGATGAGGTTTCTAGTCGGTGTTTACTTCCATGTGCCTCAGCAGCCTACTAAATAATTGGTTTCATATGAAATCACAACAACTTAATACATTAATTTGAGGCAAATGCTCTCAAAATGTAAAATACTTGTAATTTATAATGTTGTATGTTCAACCTTGATTCCAAGTCACCTGATTTTGAAATTAGTTTTTAAAAGCGACCTCTTTAAACTCTTTTAGCTCTGTGAATAATATAGATAGGATCATAAGAAAGTGGAAAACTCTTAAACTTTTAAAACATAAAGTTTCTTATGACACAGTTTTTCTGTTGCCTCCATATTTTCAAACTTCAGTTATTTGTTAAATAATTGCTTTAAATAACTGTGTTTTTTAGCCTTTCATATATTAATACCTAAACTAATAGCACTGATTACTTAAGCATATAATTTACTACTTTGGAGAAACTGCTTAGAAAACTATCAGACAGATAAAAACTAAATCGACATTAAAAAATATGGAAAAAATCTACCTTTAATAGAACTTACATGGTTTTGGTAGTTCACGCGATGCCGTAACAGTTTGTGTAATTCCTTTTGAGATACCGTTTAAGAGAATTCCACTCCGTTTAAAGCATTTTCATAGACTGACGTGCCGCCAGTGCGATCTGTACTCATGGATGATAATGAAATGAAACCAGCGTCAAGTGTACTCTCAGCGTTTGGAATGTGGTACTTACATATGCCATGTTTTGCAGCCAGGGATTATGAGATTCAGAGAGAAAGAATCGAGCTTGGACGGTGCATCGGGGAAGGCCAGTTTGGAGACGTCCATCAAGGCGTCTACATGAGCCCAGTAAGTCCTCTGCGTCAACCAGAAACCTGTGCTACTTTTGACTGTGGCCCCTCGTTTGTCTTCATGAGTCCTCAGTTCTTTGCACCTGTCTTTTACAAAGCTCCTCCTCTGTGTCACCGTATGTGCCATATCAGAAACATAAAAATGGCACACGATGCTCCTAGAGGGCTGGGTCTACCTTTTATTCGTTTTAATCTCTCAGCCTCTCTCCTCAGTAACCGATTCCACAGTGATCGTTCTGTAGCACAGAATCGACAGATAGATGACCAGCATCAGCAGCAGGAGGCCGCTGTTGCCACCTACTGCGTCCTCAAGGAAAGAGCATTAATTTGCCCCAAACTGCCCTCCAGAAGAGAGCAACACATTTTTAAAATTATTTAATAATAGTGTTCTTGAGGTATAGATCACATACTGTAAAATTCATTTTTTTTAAACATACAACTCAGTGGTTTTTTAGTATATTGACAGAGTTGTACAATCCACCACGCAGTCCTTCTAGAACTTTCTTTGCCCCAGAAAGAATCCCCCACATCAGCAGTCACTCCCATTCTACCTTCCCCCCAGCCCCTGCAGCCACTCATCTGTTTCCTGCTTCTGTAGTTTTGCCTTTTCTGGACATTTCTTATAAATGGACTCATACGATACGTGGCCTTCGTGGCGGGTTCTTCCAGTCGGCACGCTTTTAGGGGTCACCCACGCTGAAGCGTTATCGGGACTTCATTTCTTTTCAGTGCTGGATAACATTCAATTGGATGGGTAGAACCACTTTTTGTCCGTTTGTCCGTCAATGGTCATTTGGGTTGTGACCATGTCTTGGCTGCTAGGAATCAGGGCTCTCTGAGCACTCCTGTACAGGACCATGTGTGAGGAGTTTTCAGTTCTCGTGAGAGCTCTGGGCGTGGAGTTGCTGGGTCACGTGGTAACTCTTCCACTCTTTGACTTACTGCTGAACTGTCTCCAAAGAAGCTGTGCATTTCCATTCCGAACAGCAGCGTGTAAGAACACCCCTTTCTCTGTATCCCTGCCAACGCTGGTTATCATGTTTTTATTACATCATCAATTTTAAAACAGCATTTTAAAATAATAGTACAGGGTGCCTGGGTGGCTTAGTTGGTTAAATGTCCACCTCGGTTTCGGCTCAAGTCTTGATCTCAGGGCTGTGAGTTCCAGCCCAGTATTGGGCTCCACACCTACATGGAGCCTACTTTAAAAAAAAAAAGAAGATAAAATAATAGTACATACTTGGTCAAGAACTTTTTTAACTAACAGGTGTACACAGATGGTACTGATAAGGGCATACAGACTCTCCCCAACTTACGTTGGTTGCGCTTAAGGGTGGTTCAACACAGTTTTTCGACTTTATGTTGGTGCAGAAGTGACCTGCATGCAGTAGAAACCATACTTGGAATTTTGAACCTGGATCCTGTCGCAGGCAAGGGGTACACACAGCCTCTGTCCTCACGCAGGGTGGTGGCCGCCAGCACGAGGGCCCATCACTGAGAGACTGACAACCATTCTGTGCCCACACAGCCCTTCTATTTGTCCCTCCAGTGGAGGATTCAGTAAACCGCACAGGCTGTCAACACTTCATTGTAAAATACGCTTCGTGTGAAATGACTCTGCCCAGCTGCGGGCCCAGGCGAGCGCTTGCGGGCGCCTGGAAGGTGGGCACGGCTCAGCTGTAATGTTAGGGAGTCCAGATGCATTGCACGCACTTTCAGCTTGGGACGTTTTCAACGTGCGGTGGGTTTTTCGGACATGAACTCCATACCGAGTCAAGGAAGGTCTGTCGTAACACAAAGGATTGACCTTTGGTGTGGCCCCTGCTTTGGCAGTTTCCCCAGTAATTCTCTGTCTTTCACTTTTTCATATCCTCTGCACGTGCACGAGTGACACCGTGATCTTTACTTTTGTAACCAAAGAGCTAGAAGGGCTTTTTTGGTTTTTGTTTCTGTCAGGAACAACAGACACTTGTCACCGTGTCACGAAACAAATTAGAGTTTCCGTTTTTAAAACTTCAGTTTCGAAAGCCTTTTCCTTTGTACTTAATATACAGTTCTGTCATTTCTTACGTATTTCTAGCTGTTAACTCTTCTTTAATTATTATTATTATTATTATTTTACTCTGTGTTATCTTCCTAATTCTCTTAACTCTGTTCTTTGGGGCAAAACACAGTAGAAAAAGCCCTGCATCTAAAGTTACTCGAAGACGTGCTAAATTTGCGACTTGGCCGCACCCCGCTGAGAGGCAGGAGACTGTGGCTTCTTGACTCGGAATTCGGGCAGCTGCACACGGTGGCCTCAGAGCTCCCTCTGGTCTCTAGAATTCAGTGGCTCACCAGGACCACACAGATAAAGGCAGGGTTAGTGGGCCTTATTTCATGCATCTTTAAAATAATCCATTTTAGTTGTGAAAATACAAGAGGACATTTTTTAAATACCCATTGTGTAGTGTTCATTAAATACTTGTTGAATGAGCCCCAGCCCCAGAAAAATACGAGGGTTCACACTTTTTTGTGAGTATCTCCCTGACCTATGCTGTCCACGAATGAGTGTTTATTTTGTTCTTCGTGTCGGTGTCTGATTTTACCGTGCAAAGGAATCTGTTCATTCCCTGGGGCTCCTGTTAAGTCCCTTTTCCAGATTACGTCCTTCACTGTTCTGTCAGATCACGGAACGGATCTTCGAGGATTTTTAGTAATCAGTCATCTGCAGCTCAGCACACGTCACGGCCAGGAACCTGCCACTGGACCTTCAAGTCATTATTTCAGCAACAATTTCTCAGTCTCCCAGCAGGTTACAGCAAAGTGGTGGGGACATAAGAATGAACAAAACGGGCACAATTTCTGCCCTCACGGAACTTAACTTCTCTCTGAGACAGAAAGGAACAGTCAAAAACAAATACACTAAATATCGAGTAGGGAAGAAGAGGAGGTCGGGGTGCTCTCCCCACGAGATGGTCAGAGAAGGCCTTCTGATAGGTGACACGGAGCAGAGCCCTGAAGCAGGAAGGGAGCCATCCACGGGAGGCCAGTGTGGCTGCCTCGGGGGGTGGGGGGGGTGGGGGCCACGGAAGGTGAGGAGTGGGGTCAGGTGGGCCACGCATGGGCTGCAGTTCATTCTAGGAGCCCGTGGACACAGCGTCCTCTAGAGGCTCGCACACGCCATTGTCGCATCTGGCAAGGCAGTCGGGCGTCTTTGTCACCATCTGAGCCTCTGCTGGTCACTTGCAAGTTCTGTCATCATTATGATCTTAGCCTTAAGAACTTGCTTTTAAATCTCTTTTTCTCTTGATTAGTCCTAGAGTAACCCTTCTCTGGATTTATTTGTTAAAGTCTTTTCAATGCCTGCTAGTTGTTAGTAATTCGGAAGCTGGTCGTGTCTTTTATGGAGGCATAGTGGATGCCATTGTGGCATTTGCTTTGAACCATTGAGAAGACTTCTCTGTCCCCTAAGTACTGCTTGTATTATAAATGTTTTTAAAAGTTGTACCTTGAGCAATTCCCAGGTATGTTTGAATCTGCCTCTTTTTAAGGTGTTTTTAGGAAAAAACGAAAAACAAAAAACCATCTTTGCTCAGGTTCTGGTCTGGTCTTGCTCACTTTGAACTGAGTTCTCCAACATTCCGTTCTCTGTGACCAGCCCCTCTGGCAGCTCAGCATCCCCCGGGCTCCTGCTGTCCAGCCACAAATGCTGCACCACGGACAGATGACCAGCCCCTGGCTCTGTCCACTGTGGCCTTTCGTCCCTGTGCTGCCCACGGAGTCTTGGGTCTGGCGTCCATTTGCAACTGCGGGTCCTTGGAGAGCAGTACTTCTCTGCATATCTTCAGGCTGTCTTGTGTGAAACACCGTGTTCAATATTTGAGTATGAATTCACAGAATAGATGACGGTTTTGTGGTCTTAAGAACTTTCTATTATTGTTATACAGAATTCCTGTTAAAAAGGACATTTTGTGTCATTTCTGGAGTATACCAGTTGGCCCTGTATTTTTAGATGGAGATAGAATTCGTGGTCCTGGTCCTAAAGACGTTCACCATCTAGTTAAGGAAAACAGTTACTAACTCATTCAAAGCAAAGTAGTTCCGTCTCAGCCTTGCTGTGTGGCTGGCACCTGTAGGAAGGCTCTACGCTCAGACATTTAACAGACAGATCTCGAGCTCCTGTTCCCGTTCTGTGCCAGCAGCGACTGTCCTGCTGGGCACAGGCCACCACATCACCACCTGGAGTCCTGCACGCTGCAGGCTAAGAGAGGGACCCACGTCTGTTGTAGTTATTTTACTGTTTATATTTCTCTCATTTGAAAGTGTTTAATATTCTGGAATCGTATGGTGTGTAATTAGTGTGAAATCTAAAGTGAATACAATTTAAGCTATTTTTAAGGTGCGCTGCCGCTGACTTGTGAATGGCATCTGCATTCAAAAGAAAGGTTTTAATAGCATTCCTGAACTCGGCGAATAGTTACTAAGCAGCTGCTATGAATTGAGTCCTGTTGTAAGGGGACCTTTTTGGCAGACGAGACAAGGTACCTATTGTCTTGAAACTTACATGTCAGTGATGGAAAATAGTAATGATGTAAATGGCAGCATCGTGTATGTTGTAATGTATGATACATGTATGGTGAAAATGTGTAGAATAAGGACATTGTGATAACCTGAGAGGCCTGTCCCGGACAGTTCTGTGCTCGGAGCTTGTGAGGGTCGCGCAGAGCAGCAGGGAGAACACGGCAGGCAGCTGGGCGCTGTTTTAGACGGGATGGTTTGAGCATGGATCTCGGTGCAGATTTCCGGGGCAGCCACAGGAAACGACACTGGAGTGTAGAAGATAAGGCTGGGCGTGCGAGGTTTGGGTGAAGAGGGGCTCGGGGGCCACAGCAGGGGGCTGGGCTTTTTCTCCCAAGTGTCCTGGGGACAGGAGGAGCCTCAGGGAGAGTGGGTGCAGAGAGAGCCCACAGCAGTGGCGGGGGCTGGGCAGGCGGCCGTCAGATGCACGCGGTAGGCAGGAAACTTGGGTCCTGCTCCTGGATTGTTGGATCGTGGGAGCCGAGGGAAACTGAGGAGTCAGAACTGACTAGTAGGTAGTTGACCTTGAGCATCTGCGTGACTTCCGTGTCCCGAGTGAGGTGGAAACGGCTAAGGAGAGGAAACGCGTCTGGTGGTGGGTGTATTAGTGAGGGCTCCCCTGGAAACAGAAGGCTGTGGGTGCCTTCAAAACGGGCTTGTTAGGAGTTGGTTCATGTGGTCCTGGAAGTTGATGTCATCAGATCTGCAGCTGGAGGCCCAGGAGAGCTGATGGCTTCTTGCTTCCAGTCTGTGCCTGAAGACCTAGGACCCAGCACAGCCAGTAGAGGTATAGTCCAAAGAGTGGGGAAAAAAACAGTGTCCCAGCTCAAAGGTAGTTGGGCAGAAGAAATTCCCTCTTATTTAGAAGAGAAGATCAGCTTTTTGTTCTAGTCAGGCCTTCAGCTGATCAGATGCGGCCCACCACATTAGGGAGGGCAACTTGCTTCACTCAACCTATTGTTAAATCCATCCAGAAACACTCAGAATATGCTTGACCAAATTACCTGGGCACCCTGTGGCCCAGTCAACTTGACACATAAAAAGAACCATCACAGTGGGATATCTGGAGTTTTGTTTTGGTCGTATCAACTTTAAAGTAACTTTGCTGTGTCCTCGTCAAGATAGGGCATGGGGTGGGGTGGTTGTCAGAGTCTGGGCCGAAAGACAAAGGGAGGGCTGGAGAGAGAATTTAGAAGTCAGTGCAGATGTAGGACTTGGCACTCAGTGAGATGGCCGCACGTCGGGCTGGCCCTGGGATTGAGCCCTGGGACGTTCCTGCCCTGAGGAGGCAGGAAGCAGTGTCTTGTCTTCCCACTGTCCTCACAGGCCAGTCGTTCCTGCCTGAGGCTGCTGTTTATATGGATGGTGACTCACGACCGTAGCAAGGACTCTTCCGAGAAAGCTTGGCAAATTCAGGCTTCATCCGGGCTCGGGAATCTGGGGTGGGAACCATTTCAGAGCCACATCGTGCGATAAGCAGCAGCTCCGTCCTGAGCTGCTGCCGCTCCCTGCTGCCTGTCACACGTACACGCTGCCCCAGTCCCTGTCACAGAGGGGACATGCCACTTACCAGCAGGGCGACCTTGGGCAAGCCGCTAGATCCGTCCGCCTCTGCTGGCCTGTCTATGAAATGGGGATCCCGGACCCGCCTGGAACTCGTCCGGCCGTCTCACAACCTGTAGGCCCAGTGAGATACTTTACAAAAAGGACAGAAATGTCCAAAACCTGTGGAGAATAAAGATGGCGAGATCGTACAGTCCTCTGGGGCCTCGTGGCTGGAAGCTCGCTCCTCACACCCCCGTGATGGTGCCTTGGCCTGACCTCCTCTCTCGGGGTCCTCCGGGGAGGGAGGGAGTCGGGACCCAGCAGCCACGGTGAGGAGACCTGAGGCGGCGCTTCTTGGACCTTTGTCCGTTCGCTGCGTTCTCCTACTTCTCTCTCCCCCATCCTGTCCTCCTTGTCCTTCCTGCCTCCTTAATGGGACGTGAGGCCCGACAGTTCCCCGCAGGAGGAGTCCGTGGTCCCGGCAGAGACCAGGTGGGGGCGGGCGGAGCTGAGCGTCCTGGCGTTGCTAATGAGAACCACGCGCGGTGTTACTCCATCGAGGCCAGGAATGACCTCACTTCCTATCTGTCTTAAGCTCTATCTTTTGAACTCGTTCAAGAAAACATCACCTTCTTCTGTAGGCAGGTCCACGCGCCTTCTTGGTTTCTCTCCCCGTTGCCAGTCACGCTCTTAGTCACTGCGCGTCTCCCCTTCTCCCTGAGCTCCGCGCTGCAGGGCGCCCGGGTGAGTGCTCCGTCTGCCCCAGGAGCTCCTCCAGCCCGAACTCCGCCCCATTCTCCTCCCGCTCTCCTGTGTGGCTCTCCTGTGTGGCTCTCCTGTGTGCCTTCGCTGCCTCTCATGCACCTCCAGGCCTAGTCCGAGCTGAGCTGCTGCTTCCCTTTGTCTCACCAGAAACCTGAACCTGATGTCTCATTGCCAGCGCAACGCCCACCCTGTCCCTCCTGCACTGCCGCAAACAAGTCCCAGCCGCCAGCCTCTCACCACGCCTGCCCTCGGGTCCCAGAGCGTCCGTGACCCCGGCTGTGCCCCTGGCCAGCTCTCGGCAATCCATCCCTCCCTCTCTCCTTTGGTTTTTTGTTGTCCTGGTCTCTGCTTCGCACATCCGGACACGCTCCTTCCTTGTCCACAGCGCCGTTACCCACTAACATACCCTGTGATCACCTGGTTTCTTGTGTGTGTTGTCCCTTCCTAGCGGGAAGGCATCCTGGGGCAGAACAGGGAACTTGGCTGCCTGTTGTTCAGTGTGCACCCTGAGTGCCTGCGAGGCGGCCTGGCCGGTAGCAGGAAGTGAATATGCACAATGAAGGAACAAACGACCTACAACATGTTAATGTTGCCTGGACGTTTTTTCTGGGGACTTTGTAGAGTATTTGAAGTGTTCCTCTTGAGATTTTCAGTTCTGATTCTGTCTGGTCCGGAATCCGCGTAGTTGCCAGTCACGCAGCTTTTCGTGAACGTGCCCATTGATGCGTAAAAAGAAGCTCTTTTTGCGGGGCGCCTGGGTGGCTCAGTGGGTTAAAGCCTCTGCCTTCAGCTCAGGTGTTGATCCCAGGGTCCTGGGATCGAGTCCCACATCGGGCTCTCTGCTCAGCGGGGAGCCTGCTTCCTCCTCTCTCTCTGCTGGCCTGTCTGCCTACCTGTGATCTCTGTCAGATAAATAAATAAAATCTTAAAAAAAAAAAAAAAAAAAAAAAGAAGCTCTTTTTGCATGTGTGTGTGATTCTGAAATTTCCCCAACACAGGAGAACCCAGCGCTGGCGGTTGCAATTAAAACATGTAAAAACTGTACTTCGGACAGCGTGAGAGAGAAATTCCTTCAAGAAGCCTGTAAGTGTCTAGAAATTTCTGTGGAACTCCCTGTGACTTTTTACCTGTGAAATGCAAGTGGTCTCTGCGGAAGTAAAAACGATAACACTCTGACTTGTCTGTGGCGACCACGTTACTGTCTCACCTTGCACATTAATACCCGTATCTGTAGAGGCGCGTGTCCACACGTCGCTCCAGGTTAGCCGTGGTGTTCGGGGTGTGAGGGCAGACAGATCACTGTCCCCGTATCCTTCGGGACCCGTGTGGTTGAGCATAATGTGGCGCTGGGACTGGGCAGACATAGAAATGAGTCTTACCCGCCTGCCCCCCGGCCCTAGAGTTCGGAATGAGCAGGACAGACGCGGTCCCCGCCTGAGGGAGCTCACAGACCAGGGAAAGAGCCGGGACCATGCCCCATGCCCTGACCCTGCCTCACAGCCGCCCCTGCGGCTCCCCACTCACGCGTCCGGGATGAGGCTGTGGGGAGGGTCTGTGTGGGTAGCCATTCTCTGCCAGGACCTTGTCCTGTCCTTTCCACCTGCCCACAGGCTGGGACGCCCTCCCTGCTTTCCCAGCGCTTGTCCCTTCTCATCTGACCACGTATTTAGAGTAGTTTCTCCTCAGGAGGCTTTGTCACAGGACCACATTCTCTCCTTCCTAAGTATTTGAAACTAAACAACATTGCCTAGAAATTAGTATTGCCCTCTCTCAGCTTCAGGCTCCACGGGGCTAGGACCGTGTCTGCTGTGCTCACCGCCCAGGCCCGTGCCCAGCACAGGACTGAACCCATCAGGTGCCCAGTAGACACTGGTCATGTGATTGAGTCCCGGGGTCCCTCATTACATGGACATGGAACAAATGCCTTCTACCATCCATTTCAGGAAATATTTACCACCCAACCGTCCAGTAAATTAATAAGTTATAGAGTAAGTCATACTGACTTTATCGGTGTATTATCATTTTCATCAAAACCGTATTGTACTTCCATCAAAACAAAACAAATCAAAACAAAAACAAAAACAAGTCTGTCTTTAATCCTGTTCCTAGATCTCTGTATCCAGTATCTTAAGGACAAGACAGACCCTGGCAATGACTTCTGTCTTAACTAGTTCATTTCCAGAGAGCGCCTCGGCCGCGAGAGCACAGACGACCGCAGCCACCCTTACTTACTGCTGTGTCAGAGAATAACCTGGACAACTGTTTCTCCCTAGTGACGATGCGCCAGTTCGACCACCCTCACATTGTGAAGCTGATCGGTGTCATCACGGAGAACCCCGTCTGGATAATCATGGAGCTGTGCACGCTCGGAGAGGTACCTGACCCACACCTGGCTGTTCCGGTGCTGCCAGCCCCTTTGTCACAGCGACCGTGGAATGACAGTCCCGTGCTTGGTGTTCATTCAGCCACCTCCAGTGTTTGGTGTCCTTTGTGTAAGGGGTTGGGGTATGTGAAGGACACCCTTGTGGTTCGGGCTCAGAGACTATAACGTCATCATCGTTAAGTTCCCAAGTCATGCCCTGACTCAGTGCTGGAGGCAGTGGTGACCCCGTGGATCTGTCTTCCTCTCTGGTGCTGCCGCCTGATGCTAGCCCCGGGGTCTGAGGATAAAAGGGGTGCTCTTAACGGAATGCAGGCAAATGAATGCTGCATCTCGGTAAACCTGAAGTCCCTTACTGTTTGAGAGTTCGTTTTATGGCATCTTTCACACCAACCGATATTAGTCACGGTTTCTTTTGAAAATGTGAGTAACATATGTGGACAGATCTCCTTACTTGACTTTCTCTGGAACACAGAAATTCCTTGCTCACCTGGAAACTTGTTAGAAGCCAGATTCTTGGGCCCCCGCCCAGGCTTGGCGGATCAGGCCCTCCGCAGGGCAGGCAGTCTGTTCTCTGGCACCTGTTCTCCGGGCCACGCCGTAGCCCGCCTGCTTCAAATGGACACAAGTCCGTTCTCCAGGTGTCCACGCTTCACCTTCTGGTACTAAAGCTCAGTAATTTAGCCTGAAACGTTACCTACATTCCTTCACTTCTAAAGGACACCAAGCACAGTTTGGCTTTCCGTGGAGATAGGGGTTCTGGTGAGCGGGTGTCAAAGGGCAGTTTGGGCCCATGTGCCTCCTTTCCTCCGGGCCCCCCGCTGCTCTGCTCCGCACTCGATAATCTTGTTTGCTGGGCGAGGTGACTTCAGGCTTCTACAGCAGCATTTCTTCGTCCGCCCTGCCTTTCCGAATAAAACAGAGAGCTTACGTATATCTTTCATTCACAGTATTTTTCTGCTTTTGCCTTTGGAGAATTTGCTGATTTTTCTGGCTTAAACTGTTACTAAATATTTCTCCTTTGTGTACTGATTTTGTAGAATTAGAGTTCAGTTCAGCTGCCTTCCTTTGCCATGCTGGCATTTAGCTGAGTTGGTCGTGACAGTGGTAATAAGGACTTACAGGCCCCGTGGGGTAAATACCCAACACCTTTCTGTACCCAAAACTTGCTGGAGGAGAGAGAGAGAGAGAGAGAGAGAGAGAGAGAGAGAGAGGAGAACTTCTTGCCTCCCCTTCCTCATCACCTTATCCTCAGGTCTGCCTGGGGTGCGGGCGTGCTGGTACATGCGGGCCAACTCGGGCCTTTGTCCTCCCAGCTCTTTGCTAGCAGTAGTTCACACTCTCTTCATTTCCTTGTAGCATCTTCCTGTATTTTTTCAGAAATTTGTCCACAGTCATGAAGTTTGAGTTTTTGAATAGGATTCAAATAACGAACGATTAACCATCATTTCTGAGCTAATATGTTTCATTCTGCCCCTTCATCTTAGGGGAGAATTGAAGCCATTCTTATAAAAGTGTGTTTGGAAATGGGCAGTACTGTTGAATATAGCTCCTTGGCTGTTGATGTCTGTTCTCTGTCACTAATTTTTTTTTATCTTGTTCGCTGTTCAAAGCTGAGGTCATTTCTGCAAGTAAGGAAGTACAGTTTGGATCTGGCGTCTCTGATCCTTTATGCCTATCAGCTTAGTACAGCTCTCGCGTATCTAGAGAGCAAAAGATTTGTGCACAGGTAAGATCCAGTCATAAAGCTAGCAAGCTGCCCTCTGGGCGGGGGAGGGGTGTAGTGGGGAAACCGGAAGGAGGAGACACTCAGTGTGCCCTGTGAGCCTTTTTACCCCTGGACTCTGCGGTGCGTAGACGGTATCGGGAAGTCAGGCGGCACCTGTCCTGGTCCAGGGAAGACCAAAGGCCCGTTTGTATGCACGTTTAGAAGGTTTTCCTCCCATTAGGTGTGAACATTGCCTTCGGGCCAGTTCTCTCCTCCGCAGATGCTACTGAGAGCTGTACGCGGCCCCAGAGCTGTGAGCACGTGGACCTAAAACAGACACTGGCCCAGGGCTCCCGGACCCCAGAGGGTCATGCGTGACGTCTGGGGGGGTGCTATGGCATTTCTGTTTCTCATCCGAGGCCCTAGTTGGAATGCAAGGGAAAGCCCTTCTGGTTTGCCCACTACTTTGTTACCCAGCGTGAAAATAAATTCCGTCAGCCAAATCACGAACAAGGGTTTGGATGACGGCATTTACTTCCAGTGATGAGATCTCTTTGTAGTGGCAGGATTACGAGCTCAGTCGTGCAGCCTCTCTGTTGATGCAGGTGCTAATACGATTGTAGGAAAAGTCAGAATGCCTTTTTTATGCATTATTCTCAAATATTTGTTATTTGAGAATATATTTTGCTGCCAATCAAAACACTAATCATCATATTAATGAGTAAATATCTGCCAGAAGGAATATACTTGAAGTAAAATCATAAAAGTGTCCTTTTTCAGTGCATAATAAATCTGTTTGCACTGTCTATAAGCGGTCTTTCAAAGTGCCTGTCAGTGTGTCTTTATATAATGTAGATGAGTTTGTGGGTTTGTTTCTCCTTGTATTAAAATTTATTGTCCCAAATTCTTCCTTATCAGGGACATTGCTGCTCGGAACGTTCTGGTGTCCTCAAATGATTGTGTAAAACTAGGAGACTTTGGATTATCCCGATACATGGAAGACAGTACTTACTACAAAGGTAAGGAGTCAGAGCAATAAAGAGGCAGTAAGCTCAGAATCTTCAAGGATTTTTATTTCCTAAAAAGGTGTGTCTTTAGTAAACTCAGCTGATTTTTGGCAGAGGCATAAAATAAGTTCAGTAGAAGAAAGCCTTTCAGTCCATGGGGCCAGAGCAGTCAGACATCCAGAGACAAAGAAGGGACCTCAGCTTGACTCACCCCGTGGGTCAGGGGATCTTAGGCTTAAAGCTGTAAAACTTTTAGGAAGGACATAACGAGTCAATCGTTGGGGTCTAGGGCTAGACAAAGGGTCCTTAGACCTGCACCAAAAACATGATCCATAAAAGGAGACACTCGGTAGATGGGATTTCATCGAAATTGAAACTCTCAGTTCTGCAAAACACCTGTTCGGGGTTGGAAAGGGAAGGTGCAGACCTGGAGGATCTCTGCCAGGCACAGGGCCCGCCCGTAACCACGAGCGATTCCACAAAAGACTGGTGTCCACAGGGTAGAATGAGCTCTCAGAATTCATCAGGGAAAACAAGAATATGACATGGACAAACGGTGGGAAGAGAGGCTTCACTGAAGAGGGTATGTGGAGGGCAGAGAAGCCCGGACAGAGGCTCAGACCGTGACAAGGTATCATTGCCCACATGTCAGAATGGCTAAAATTAAAAATAGTGATAACACCAAATGCTGGCAAAGATGCAGAGAAACTGGATCTCTCCCAGATTGCTTGTGAGAATGTAAAATGACAGAGCCACTCGGGAAGAGCTTCACAGATCCCTGCGGAGTCAGCTGTGCAGCTGCCGCACAGTCCAGCGGGCACACTCCTGAAGCGAGAACTGCCGTGCACACGAAACCTGCATTTCAGTGTTCACTACAACTGTATTTCCAGTGGCCAAAACCTGGAATCAGCCCAGACGTCTCCAGCTGGCGAGCGCAGTCAGACACCTCCACAAGTGGGGCGGGTGCCTTGACCTGGTGGAAGCAGTCGGGCCAAGGACTCCAGTCTGCTCGCCCAGAGACTTCCGTCGGCTGGCCTCAGAGCAGAAATCTAGCTCATGTGATTCTTCTTCAAATGTGCCAATTTTGGAATCAGTTTGACTTGGTTCTTTAAATTATTATAGAACAAATATTTTTATTAACAAATGTTACTATTCCTAATATTTCAGCTGTGGTTTGGATTATAAATCCGTATCATGCTCTTAGTATATATTCTAATTCTTACTACCACTTTAAAAGGCCGGTTTCTTTCTCACTTTTTAAAATTCTTGTATTGTGGCAAAATGAGATTTTTACATACAAAACTAGTTTCCCTCATCTTACTGTAGGGCTGATGACCGTTCCCTTTCCATGTGCCTTCTGTACGCCACAGCCCGAAGCAGTCGCAACCGAGATTTGCTGCTGTGTGAGAGGAGAATTCTTGGGTTGTTCATTCATTTCAATTAGTCATTTAACGTAAAGATGATCAAGCAGCTCTCTGCTGTTTTTTTTTTTGTTTTTTTTTTTGTTTTTTTTGTTTTTTAAATTTTTTTTGCTCTCTGCTGTTTTAAAATACGTTTACTGTCCAGCTCAAGCCCTGAGCAGTCCAGGTCCCGGACTCCCAATAAGGAGCTGACCTCCAAGCAGTGCGGCGACGGAGCCTTTGTGTCATGCAGACAGCATTTAAAGTGAGCTGTTGACACGTTCATGTATTCCTCATCATCTCAGACAGGTGCCTAAGTCCAGACCCCATTGGGCTGCAGGAGGACACCCCCTAGAAGCTGGGGATCTTGGGGGTTCGGGATGCAGGAGTAAGTAGTTTAGAAGGAATCGAGCCGAAGATTTGACTCCACTTGTCGTGAAGGTGCTTGAGGTTAAGTGGGAAAAAAGAAGTGACTCGGATGAAATTATCTCCTGCTTGAAGGGACTCAGAGGCACGCGTGGCTCACAGGAGGAGTCCGGATGAGGCCGGCAGAGCACAGACACCTCTGTGAACCTAGGCTCCCTCTGACGTGGACTCCCGCTCCCCTGTGCCCCTGCTGCCTTCCCGGACACACCGCTCAGCCGTGGGCCTTCTCTGCTGCTGAGGCATGGCGTTCACTCGGAGTCCGGGTCACACCCCGCACCGTACCTTTTAGAGCTAGAATTGCATGAGGGCAGGTACTCTGGGCCGTTCCTCTTGTCACCCAGCAGCTGAAGGAATGTTCCGTGAGGTGGCGAGTTGTTTCCTTTGTGGCACAGAAGGAAGGCTTATGAGGCCTCCAGGGACAGATGATGTAGGCTCACCTAAGAAGTGTACTTTTTCATTCCGTCCGTCAGCTGTCCTGCCCTGCACATACCCGTGCAGGCGCCGTGGTCAGTCCTCATTCCGTATTCCATACGCACGGAGACGGGCAGCTCCCGAAGTCCTGCCCAGTGCTTTCGGGGTCACGTGTGGGTGCGAGGCAGGGGAGGACTGGGCCTATCTCTGCGGGAGGATGGGGACGGGGCGGGGGGCGGTGGGGCAGGACAGCGACAGCCGGTCCGGCTCAAACCCCAGCTCGGGCACCTGGTGGCGGTGGCCTCGGGCAAGTCATGAAACATGTCTGAGCCTCGTTTTCTGAAGGAAGGAGAACCAGCAGGCTGAGTTGTTTGCAGGGTTTGAAGCTAATCTGTGTGGCGTGTGTATGCGCGTGTACACGCTCCCCCTGGAACAGTGTCCGGCCAGTGGGTCCGGATCTGCTGCACAACCGAGCTGCGGGCCGGGAGCACCAGCCAGCCGGGCCCCCTCTTCCTCCCGCGTCCCCCGCCTGTCTGCACAGCGGAGGCCTGCAGCGCTGTTTCCGCACCACAGGCTGACCGGATCGCTGCAGATGACCTCACCACGCTGAGGAAACAAAGGATAGTTCTTCCAGATTAGCAAAGCCCAAGGGGTCAGCTATTTAAAGCTTTTTATTTTGATACTGAAAATCTCAGCGAGCTGTAACTGTTAGATCCTTGAGCAGATAACAAGGAAAATTCACTTTCTAAAATTAATCTTCTAGCTTCCAAAGGAAAATTGCCAATTAAGTGGATGGCTCCAGAGTCCATCAATTTTCGACGTTTTACCTCAGCTAGTGATGTGTGGATGTTTGGTGAGTATTTTGAAGTTTTGAGTTTTTAAATGAACATTTCATAGACTACAAAACGGACTTAGGCTTAGCTCTTTCTGCAGTATTTAGGCTCCTCTGCCTTCCCGTGCCTGAGCGCTGCTCCACAGACGGCCTCTTGGCTCATTCAGCAGCCGCTGGGCCACGCGGGGCGCCGGCTTCTGTCGGAATCCCCCCGCCCCGGGCCTCTGTCTCCCTGGGCCCTCTCTGCGTCCCTCCTGGGAGCAGTTGTAGCTCTCTCCTTCCTTCTCTCTTCTCTGTCTCTCCGCCATCCCATCTGCTCCTTCTCTGTGAGTGACTTTAAATGGTCGACCTGTCCTCGGATTCTGTGCCAGCCCCTCCGCTCCGGAACATCCGCGTGGCGCTTTGCTCGTGCGCTGGAGCCCAGCCTCCTTCCCGACTTGTCTCAAGGCTCGAACATTTGATCCTTTGTCTCCTGTGGCTTCTGCTCTAGCGCCTGCTCCGTGCCTCCCCGCCTGCTCCGAGCCAGTCGCTGTCCTGCTCTGGGGGTTGCTGTGGAACCTTTTGACCGTGGGACGGGGTAGCCCTCACTCATTCTGCACCACTTGCTTCAACTGCTTCGTCAGGTTTTAAATCACTCTCCCCTTTCCACACAGATGCTGCCCCCCCGCCCGCCCCACTCTTCTGGTCTAACTCCTTCCACCTGGAACATGTTGTCATAACACCCGCTCCCGGGGCTGAAATTCTGACGTTCGGGGTCACCTGAAATGTCCCCTCTTCGTGAAGCCTCGTGTAGCCGGTGTGTGCTCCAGACATAACCTCCCGTCTTCTGTGTTCCCTGTACTTCTACTCTCTGCCCTAACACTCACACGTGGATCTTGTGCGCGGTCCTGTACGCGTGCTTTCTCCCTAGATTCTGAAGTACTCCAGAGGAGATGCCCGGACAAGGCTATGTGCCTTTCCCCCATAATTAAAAATAACTTTATACACATCAAGTACATGTTCTTCTTTTTTCTTCTATGTACTTGCTGTTGGTCTCCTCTAGTGCTCTGAGTGATAACAGGAGAGGGAAGGGGCTTTCGCCAGAGCAGCAAATAGTGTGACTGGGCTTAGAAAGGGCTCTGGGGTCCGCCTGCTGTGGCGTCACCTCCCAGGACCTCACTCGTCGGCTGTGTGACCCAGAGAGCCGCTTGCTCATCCTGGCAAGGGGACATCAGTTTTCAAAGGTCCTGAGATGCCCGTTTCTCACACTGTCACTTCTCTGGAACGGGTGTCATCAATCAGTGGCGTTTTGCAGTCGGTGTGAGTTGGGGCCGTGTCTCACGTGGCTTCCTTGCCCACACCCGTGTGGACTTTGTTTCGTTCATCCCTGTGTCGCTTCCTTGTCTGAATGAGTTTGGAGGTGCTCATTGGTAAGAATAAAACAATTCCAAGAGGTAACAGAGGATGGTGCCGTGACTTAGTTGGCGGTATTTTCCTCCATTTTTGGTTATATAAAAACAGTATCGTATTTTATAATCAGTGGCATCTTAGGTTTGATAAAATACAGTATTTAAAGAAACGTGAGGTGTAAGGATAATGTGTAAATTTCAAAAGTCTTACGCTGCCCGGCGCTAAAGTCTTACTAAAGTCTTACGCTGCCCGGCACTGTTGGTAGTAATGACGTCACAATCTCCGGTGAGAAATGCAGAACTAAGGCATTATTTTTGCCATATACTCTTCGGTCTGGAGTGACTAGAATTCGGGAAACATCAGAATGTCGTTCACGTGGGCAGGATAATGTGCCTTGTTTTCTTTGAGGCACAGCCCTGCTGTAGGTGCCAAAGACACTGAAGCAAGGGGCCTCCTCCAGCCCGTGACGCGGGCACTGAAGCAAGGGGCCTCCTCCAGCCCGTGACGCGGTGAGCAGGGAGGACGGGGCGGAGCCAGGGCTCGCCCGGTGAGGCCCTGTGCAGAGAGGACAGGAGCGGAGCAGGGGCTCGCCCTATGACGCTGTGTGCAGGGAGGACAGGCCGAGCAGGGACTCACCTGGGCCATCAGGAGCACATGCATAGAAAGAGAAGCGCTCATGCGGAGGAGAAGGAAAGGGGCACTAAGTGCGGCGAGGCTGGCATAAGCAAAGGCGTGTGTGTGGCATGTGCTGGGGTGCCAGGACCGCCAGAGCAGCCTGCAAGACGTGCGAGCCAGCCCCGGTCCCCACCAGCCCACGTGCGCGGTTCCCCAGCCGGAGCAGGGGGTCGTCATTCTCCGCCTTAGGCTCCGTTCGCTCATTTGCTGTGGGAGTGGGCTTTCAGATGTTGTTCAGAGGACACGAAGAGAATGTGCGGCCTGCGAGGGTGGAGTGTGAGCGAGGGGCGTGCGGGTAGGGCCACTGCAGCCCAGGGAATCCAGAGTTTGCCTGGGGGACAGGGACCCCCTGACCAACTTGTGCATGAGCCAGCTGTAGTGCCATCGTGCGCCCTCGCCAGGCCCGGGCCACCTCGCTAAAGGAGTCTGAGCGTTCTGAAGGTAAAGGCTTAAACTTTAGGATGTTCTTTTGTTAGGCCTCAGCCCAGCTGCCGTAAGCATCAGCAGGTTGGACCGCAGTGGGGGGCCAAGTTCAAATTCACCCAGCCTGTTTTGAACTGGTTTGTTAAGCCATGAAGGATCGCTGGCGGGCCATCTTCTAAGACAGGATTTTTGAAGAAGTAAACCTCTTAGAAAAACTTGGGCGTTTTTTGGAAAATAACGTAATTTTCCTTATTTGGATCATATTAAGCTAATACTACTCTTCTTATTTGTAACAGAATTCACTGACTACTGCTTTATTTGCCCGATTTGCCCCAAGTCACACAGCTGGTCCTCCGGTGCCAGCTGTGCGGTTTTTCCTGAAACACAGGCGTGCTTCTCTTCCCACCGGGTTCACGGTTCTGCTTTCCTTCCCACTTCACAGGTGTGTGTATGTGGGAGATACTGATGCACGGTGTGAAGCCCTTTCAAGGAGTGAAGAACAATGACGTGATTGGTCGGATTGAGAACGGGGAGAGGCTGCCGATGCCTCCGAACTGTCCTCCGACCCTCTACAGCCTTATGACGAAGTGCTGGGCCTATGACCCCAGCAGGCGGCCCCGGTTCACTGAGCTCAAAGCTCAGCTCAGGTAGGAGTGGGGGGAGCAAGGGCTGGGGCTGGGGCAGGCTCATGCGGCTTCTCCCACGCAGTAAGAGTGTTTGAGGTCATTCTGTCAGGACGGCGAAGGCTACAGAATGACTTACTGATCAGTTTGCGTGGAGTTATGCCTTGCTACGATGCTCAGGAGATTGTATCGTCAGATCTTAGTCGACTTCACATTAGCATCAGATCTGTCGTGCGCTGACTTCTGACTTGGCGTGGCTTACGAGATGCGTGAGAACCTAGTCCCTCGTGGCCCACCCAGTTCCCTCTCCCTCTCCTGCTCCGTCGCCAGCGCTCCTGACTGCTTACGCTTCTCCCGGCACGGCCCAGCATTTCCCACGTGCTGTTTTCGCTCCCGGGGACACCTTCCACCTACTGTGCCCCCTGCTAACCACCTCTGTGGTCTTCAGAATCCAGCTCAGATGTTACCTCCAGGGGACAGCCCTAGTCAGCCCTGTCCCCAAACAGACAGCCACTCTTTGGCACCTTATCGGTGCTTCTGTCTGTTGTCGTCCAGACATCCACATGACCTGTTCAGCTGCCATGTAGTGGCTCCTACTTTGTGCCAGCCACGGCCAGACCCGGTAGCTCCCGGTCCCCTACAGAGAGCCCGCAGGGACCTGTTAGCACATTGAGTCCCTCAGCGTATCTGCACAGAGCTGACCGTGCGCCCAGCCTGGAGAATTTCTCGTTTGCACATCTGGGTCCCCCGCCAGGCCCTAAGCTCTCCGTGAGCATCCCTGTGTCTTACTCGTTTCTGCGGCCCTGGCGCAGACGTCTAACACATGCTTAGCAAACGGTTGTTGAGTTGACGTCTAGACTGACTTATAACTGAAATCGATAAGATATTCCGGCGCGATACGTACCATGGGGAGTTTATCCCTTAACCAGCACCGTGGCGTAGCGTGCGTTGTGTCATCTTCATGATTCCCTGACTCTATGTGAGATTTTTAAAAATTTTCGTCTTTTCTCAGAGAAATTTACCAAATATCAGGGTCCGAAAGACCCCAGTGCCTCCTCTGGCCCCGTCTGGTCCCCCAGTGCTCGCGGCCGGTCTAGACGGCCCAGGCCCGGCTGCTCAGGCAGCGCCACTTGCTGGCCGGGCACCTGGCAAGGAGCACTTTCCACGGAGGAACGAGGGCTGGAGGGAGAGCAATAGAGGCTTCACCCGGTCAGGGCTTACCAGCTAAGCACCTGTGTGATTCTGAGTTAGGTCTGTGGACTCCACGGTGAACACAGTCCTGCCGCCAGTGTTCGCGGCCCGAAGAAGACGGGCCGCGTCCCTTACCCCGCGGTGAGCAGCGCCCGTTCCCCGGGCCGCGGGCCGCGTGCCTGCCCCGCCCCCTCCTGTCCTCTCGGGCCCGGAGACAGCTCAGCTCTGCCTGCCACGTGACCGTCCTTCAGGTGTTTCTAGACCACTTTCTGCAAGCTAAGGGTCTCCAGGTGCTCCGTCCCCGCACAGTGAGTGGTACGCGCGCTCGCTTACTGGAGCTGGATTTTGAATGCGCTTTAGTTCATGTTTTGCTCCTATATTTCTTGGTTCCTCCTTGATCTTTCCTCAGAATGTGGCCGGTTCTGCCCGTGAGATGCCTCCCCTCTCTGACACCGGTGCCATCTGAGTATGGCCCACGCGTCCATCCCAGGCCGCCGCCTCTCTCCCAGTTTGCTTCCTGGGCAGTGTGATCCTCTCCCCTCCATCCGTCTTTAGCTTCCAACCGCCTGTTCTCACAAGGCCCAGAGCCGCGGTTGCGTTGCTACTGAACGTCGCAGTCATGCTAAAGCCAATCTAAAGCCAAGCTAAAGCTGCCTCCGGCGGCCCCTGGCCTTCCCCTTCCACAGGCTCCAGAGGGGCCTTTGCGTCCACCTCCGTCTGGGAGCGAGCCGTAACGCCTCACCGCCGCCTGGCACGCCTCCCCCGCTCCCCCGCCTGGACCGTCCATCCATCTGGCACAGCCCCTTACTTGATCTTCTCACCCATTGCTGGGGACGAGTGGCTCCCATGTTGGCTGGAAGCTTCCAGAGTAGACTAGAGTCCTCCCGTCCAACCCGATGGAGTGTCCCGCCCCTTTCTCACGCCGTGGCTGCATTAACCACCTGGGCCTGGAACACCGCCTTCTCCTCCTGGTGAAATCCGGCCCCTTTTCTCGGCGGCTCCCAGCACTGGCTCCTTCGCGGTTCCACAGCCGATGAGCCTGTGCCCTTTGCGTCTCCCGAGCACTCGGCTCTTCTTGTCGTGCTCCCCCTGCGCTGCCCCAGATGGCCGTACCCGCGTTCAGCCCGTTCCACAGTGTGAGCAGCACGAGAGCTGAGCCTGGGGCCCGATCTCTGGGGCAAGAGGACTACAGCACCTTTCCTGCCCTCGAGGAGCTCACAGTCTAGTATGTCTCAGCCCTACTAGACTGAGGCTCCTTGAGGGCAGGGATCGTCATCCTCGCCTCGGTGCCGCGCGCACCCGCAGGCCAGGGGCCTGCGCACAGTGGGGTCCCACGGCCGCTCGAGTTATGGCTTAGTAGGTGCGATCTCACATCAGTGTTCACTGAAGGACTGTTTCTTTGGGGGAAGTAGTTCCAAAAACTATCCAAGGTGAATTTTTAGAACCAAATAAAACGATTTCGCACACATGCATGACTACATCTCTTCACAGTTAGTGCAGGCCACGGAGCGTGAATTTGTTCCGTGTTTTTCAGTTTCCATCAGAAATGGAGTCTGACTTTGCATTTTAAACGTGTAATATGGCTATCAAAGAGGCCAGTAAAATGTAACTCTAATAGCTTGCTTGGACATTTATGTGTAATAGCGTGTCATAGTAATTAGATTCTTTTATTAAGTTTTATAAAATCTTTACCATATCAAAGATTGCTTAACAAATGAGTTTCAGATAGTCTTTACCCCAGGTCAGTGAAAAAGTGTTTCCTGAATCCCATTCTCCATGTCTATTTAAGAGAAAATAATTCGAAAGGACTCAGATCACCGTGGGATCCCACGCGTCTGTGGGCCGTGTTTGTCTCTCAGTGTGAGTTGCAAGAAGTGGCTCTCGGGTTGAGCTTGTGCAGCGAGTCAGACAGCCCTTGGGTCAGACTTCCATGGGTGGTCTCCATGACCCCAAGCCTCTGTCCCCTTCGCATCCCGCTCTCTCATTCAGAGATGGGAATCCACAGAGAAGCACGAAGAGGTGAGCGGGCGGGTGGCCGGGGACCGACTGCGGCCCCCATAGGAACACCCTGGAAAATGACTCCCGCCCTGTGCCCTGGCGTGCTTGCCCTGGAGGACTGACAGGTTGTGAGAGCACCCCAGGTGGTTTTTGAATGAAAAAATCACTCAATCCCTGATTAATCCGGTTAATTCTTTGGGAGGTGCAGTGCCACGGAGGGGACAGCAAATAGCTTCAGTATTTGCCCTCTTGCAGCGTCTGCTTCCCAGGAGCCAAGGAGGGGGTGTCCCTGTCACCTCAGTCTAGGGAAGAAGGTCAAGTCGACGTGTGCTTTCTTAAGCCCTTTGTAGGCAAATGAGGGAAATGAACTAATTGCACTACCAATTTAAAGTTTATACCATACTTTTTTAAACTTCGTATTGACCTACAAAGATGTGAACATGGAAGTTAGCTGAGAAGTAAACCACTCATTGGACTGTCACAAGTGGGGCCCATGCACGTACGCCGTCTGCAGGACAGAAAGGCAGCCCTGCCCTCGCTCCGGAAGCCCACCAGGTGCCCCTTCCCCTGACTGTTTACCCTTCAAGGGTGACTGCTTTTGAGCTGTCTGTAAATGGCATCACTCTTTCGTTCGTGGCTTATGTCATTCAGCATTTGCTTTGAGGTCATCCACGGCATCAGATAACTGTACGTCTTTCTTCTGGCTCTGTGGGGTTCTGCTTGTGAATATCCCATAGCTGAGTCGTCCACCTGGTGGGAATTTAGATTCTTTCCGCTGGGAGCTGTCAGGGCCCCTGCTGTGTCTTTTCGGTGCACGTAGCTACAGGAACCGAGGTTGGCTGTGTCTCCAGGAGCTCGCAGGCATGCCCGGGGGGGAGCGTCCTCGGGCCTGCTGGGTTTCCAGAGCCGGTACCCCAGCTCCGCTCCCAGCAGTGAACGAGAGCTGCGGTTGTTCCCACCATGGTGGTTTTTAAACCTTTGGAAATTACTCCTTGGTTCTGAGCTCTCTCTGTTCATGTATGAAGGTTAGGGAACAGAATGTGAGTGGTGAAAATGTCACAGTTCACCCGAGCGTTTCTGTTCTAAAGAACACTGACCTAGTAAGTATCACTTTGGGAGGTGCTCCATGATTTGAGCTGGTCTCTGCCACTGTGCTTTTCAGGAAGACCTTGTGATAGCTGGTCTCTGCCCTCCGTAGGCAGCCTTATTGTAACGTGGAAGACCAGCGCTCACTGCGTGCTTTCCGTTCCAGGCCTTGTGCCACACACTTCCCCACGTCGCTTCGTCTTAGCACTCACATGCCGTGGACATGTAGGTAGTAGCGCCGCCATCCGTTCTCAAACGAGGAGACTGAAACTCTGAGCTCAGGCCACTCGCCTGAGGTCCCAGAGCTGCACCTCACAGCGAGCCCCCAAGTGCAGGACAAGCTGTCAGCTGGCGTGTCCTGGGCCAGGACCCAAGACACAGCTAGATGTCCTTACGTGCTCCGTCTTGTGATTGCGACGGTGAGCACGTTGTTACTGCTTAGCTAAAAAGAGAAAAGAAGGAAGGAAAAAAACCCAGTATCTTAAGGAATTTCTGAAGCTGGTTCTCTTACGTTTGTTTTGAGTATCAAGCGGAGAAAGTCCCTGGAGGAAAATGGCAACATGTCTGGCACAGGCATAGAGGCCTTCACCCATGCCAGATGTGCTGCCATTTCCCTCGTGTCGTGTTGTGACCTCCTGAGTGTGCCGTACTCAGCCACTGCAGGCCCTCCGAGCGCCCGGCACGGTAGGGAGCTGTCGTGGGTGGGTGCGTCCGTGAGGCTCTGCTGTGGTGACGGAGACCAGCACGTG